CCCCCTCTGCCCCCCACCATTCTTCCTCCTTCCCCATAGTTCAACGCCTGGCCCTGAGCTGCTCCTGTGACTTCTTCCGAGCCCTCTTCACTTGCCCAATGCGGGAGGCCACCCATGACCCTGCTGCCCCCCTGGTCACGGGGCTGTCCCCGGCCGAGCTGCGCCTCCTCCTCTCCTTTGCCTACACAGGAGCTGTAGCAGGACCATGGCCCATGGTCCTGGAGGCAGCTGAGACCTCCCTGCGCTACCAGGCCTGGGGGCTCCTCACTCTCTGCCTGGATGTTTTCACCCATGGCCTGACTCCAGAAACTGTCCCAGACGTACTGGCCTTTGCTGTGGCTTATGGGCTGGATGAGGTGGGCCACGTAGCAGAGAACTACATCCTGGCCACCTTCCCCAGTGTGGTGGCTACACCAGCCTTCCTAGATCTGCCTGCACACCTTCTCATTCGCCTCCTCCGCTCCGATGGTCTCAATGTCCTCCATGAACTGGAAGCCTTGGAAGCAGCCGCCCGGTGGCTTATGGCCAACGGAGATGGCCAGGAGGATCTAGCCAAGGAGGTCCTGTCATCTGTTCGCTTTGCCCTCATGTCTGGCCTGGAGCTGAAGAAGGTCCCATCCGTGACTGCAGGGGTAGCTGACCCGAAGGTCCTCCGCGAGCTCGTGGTATCAAGTTTCGCCCCCATGGCTCAGCTGCCATGCCGGGTACGTTCCTTGCAAGAGGTGCTGGTGGTTTGTGGTGGAGACAAAGTGACGGGCAACCTGGCTGCCCGGAAGCCCAGCAGACACCTCTGGTTTGCAGACCGCTACCTCAGTGCTGTGGGGCTGGTGAAGCAGGTTGAGTGGCGGGCACTGGGACACTTTCCTGATGGCCCACGCTTCCGCCATGCCATAACTGTGGTGGGCAACAATCTCTACGTCCTGGGCGGAAAGCACTACTACGGGGTCCATGACACCCTGACCAGTGTCTACAGGTGAGAGCTACAGAGGACTTGCAGCTGCCATGTGGCACCAGAACATCGTGGGATCAGAGGAGGTGTTGGTGGAGCTAGAGTTGCCCCGTGGACCCAAGATATTGAGGCATTGCAGCTGGTCAAGTGGGCCCAAGGCATTCTGGGATGGGTTGGGTGTAGGACTGAGAGGTGTCCTCCTACTCTTGGGTGTTACATGCTTTTTTGGGGGTAAGACTGGGAGGCTCCTATCTGGAGATGCCTCAGGTCATTATGGGTTTGGTATTGCCCAGAAGGAGGGGATATTCCCATGCAAGGCTACCATGTGACCCCAAGGCATTCTGGGACTGACGGGTTGTAGGTGGGTTGTTGCCCTCAGCGGTGCCAACATGAGCTTTTGGCATTGTAGGTAACAGGTAGTCTCTTGCCACTTTGCCTCTCAAACCCAGGTACCAGCCTATGGATGATTCCTGGGAGCGTCTGGCCAGCATGACGTGTGGACGGAGCTACTTTGCTGCTGTGGCACTTGGGAATTTCATCTATGCCCTGGGGGGCAGCTCAGGAGAGCTCTACTGCACAGACACTGTGGAGTGCTATGACCTGGCCAATGACACCTGGAGGTGAGGCCGCTCCAGCAGATGCCTGCTTCCCTCTGCCTCGGACCCTCTTGCCTTGGCTGTGGTACCCACTGAGTGCTTTGGGTCACTGAGCCTCCAGTGGGGGATGGGCCTCCAGTGGCCTTTGGGAGGGGTCTACTGGGTGCTGATCAACTGTGTCCCTTTGGGACTGGGTGTTGGCTGATGTTGCCTAGTGGGTGGCAAATGAGTTTTTGGCCAGTAGTGTTTACTGGAGGTCTGTTGGCCATCTGCCAATGAGACAAATAATTTGATTCATCCCACTGGTAGAATGTTCATGGGGTGCTCTGTTGGGTGTTGGCCAATGTTATTAATAGAGGGAGTTCACTGTGGGTTGACCAATGGTGTGGGGACTACAAAGCATTGAACAGTGATGTCCCTTGGGTATCTATTCTGTGTCAGCTGATGTTGCCCACTTGGGCTCACTGGGTGTTGGTGAACATTGTCTGCTCAGCAGTTGAGACATGGCTCACTGGGCAACCCCTGGGTGGTCAGTCACTGTGGGACAGTGCTGCTTAACCTGCCCTTCACCCCTCCCTCTTTCCTTGCCCAGGAGGTGCCAGCCCCTGCTGACGGCTCTGTGCGGGCACGCGGCGTGTGCCCTGGATGGCGCACTCTACGTGTCGGGTGGGTGTGATGACGCATGCCAGTGCCAGGCATCCCTGCTGCGCTATGTCCCGGGTGCGTCTGCCACGTTCCTGGCCCCCATGAATGGCGAGCGAGCTGGCCACATCATGGAGGAGGCGGGTGGGCAGCTCTACGTGGCTGGGGGCCTGTGCCAGAGGGCTGGGCAGACTGGCTACAGGGACCAGCTGACTTTTGAGGTCTACAAGCCCAAGCAGAACATCTGGGTTGTCCTCAGCCCCCTGCCCCGTGCCCATGTAGTTGGGGGTGCAGCTGTGCTGGGAGGGGAGCTGCTTGTACTGGGAGGTTACAGTCATGAGACCTACCAGGACACACACTTGATCCACGCCTACCAGCCAGGTGCCCAGCGCTGGATCACCAGAGGCACCTTGCCCCATGCCTATACTGACCTACAGGCCTGTGTCCTCACTGTACCCACTGCCTTACGTGGCCCCAGCGGCCTTAAGGACCCCTTGAGATCACCTCAAACTCCAAATAACACTTAGGAGGGCTTAAAAACAGTGCACCCCATATTGGGATCCCCAGGTAGCATCAATATGGGACAAAAGTGCCCAGATCCCTCCCATAGAGCGTGTTCTTCCTTTGGTTTCCATCAACCCTTCACCCCCAGGGTACGTGATCTAGACTGTGGCAATCCTGTGGAACACAAGGATTCCCTGTTCTGTAGCCCTGTGTCTCCAGGAACACTCAACCCCCCCAATTTCCCCCCCAGCCCTGAGTTGAATAAAAGTTGCTCCTGAACTGCTTGTCTGGGTCTTCTTGTTTCTGGTGGGGAACCCAGACACCCAGGTGCTTCTTGCAAGAAACAGGAGGAGAGCAGAGTGTCCTGGATGGGTGGTGGGGATCAGGAAGTGTGTGGTGGGCACTGGGGCTCTGGGTGCCTGTGTTCACTGGCATGGGGGAGAGGATGTGTGTCTCAGAACTGAAAAGCATCTTGGGGGGCATGGAAGATCCTGAGGGAACAGAGTCCTGGAGGTGCCAGGGTTTGGGGGACTTGACGGTGGAGTAGATAGGGTACAGTAAGGGGTCCTAGGGACTTTGGGGTTCCTGGATGGTTTCGAGAGGTCTTGGACTCCTGGAGTGACCTGGAGTGCTGTATGGAGAAGTCAGAGAATTCCATGGAGGGCTTGCAAGGAGAGGCAGAGGTAATGCAGATTCTCGAAGACACTGGGGTACCAGTGGTACCTTTGGGGAAGGAACTGAGTGGCCTCAGACATGTAGGGGAAGGTGGGGAGGTTCTCATGCTCCCCAAAATAGTATTTTAGGTGTAGTCTAACGAGTGCTGAACAGAAGGGGATAATCACTTCCCTTGGTCTGCTGTTAACCCTGTTAACCCAGCCCAGGTTCCATTTGTCTCCCTTTGCTGCTGGGTGGATTGCTGAACCTTGTTCACCTTTCTGTCCACCAAGACAAACAGGTCTTTTTCCACAGTTCTGCTCCCCAGCAGTCTGTCCCCAACTGGCAGTGCTGGGGGCCTTGTTCACATTGCAGATCATGACAGCACTGGAGCTCCTCACAGAGGAGACAGTGCGGTTGGAGGACACCACCAACAGACAGACAAGAGCCTGCTTACAAACACAGTGTGTGTGTGCGTCCATGGGCTCACTAGCACAGCCAGAGCTTGGCCAGCAGACACACTCACATGGATGAACACTCATGCCAGCTGGCCAAGCACAGGCATATGTTCCTGTGGACCAAGTAGTTAATCTGGCAGAAGGCCACGCTGACCCATAGCAGTTGGATGATACATTTGGGGCAGTTTGAACTGCAACAGCAGTTCAGGCTGCAAAAGTGATTCATAGGATTCAGCTGCTGCATTTGTGCACCAGTGCTGGGGCAAGCCATTTGACCCCCATCAGTGATGACCACTGTCTCTTTTTCACACCTCCCAAAATGTTTATGTGACATCTGCACAGGTGGTCACAATGTTATGCCAGTCCCTGAATGCTTTGTCCCCTCCAAAGCCTCCCATCCTACTCTCCCATTTGGGTCCTACTCCCATGGTGGGTCATGCAGAGGCACCAACACCTACGGCTTCCTTATCACCTGCCAGGAGGAGGCTTTTCCCATGTGATTCAGTACTACAGGGAAGAATCACACATTTGGGGCAAAAGTAGGGAATCTGAGTATAAGTGTGTAATTTTGGATGCCAAAATACAAGAAGAATCTAAAGCTATTAGAGAGCATTCAAAGGAGGCCACAGAGATGGAGGAGGGTCTAGAGGGGAAGGGCATGAGTAGCAGTTAAGGGTACTTAGCTTATTCAGCAAGAGGTGGACACTGCAAGACACTGAGGGGAGACCTTATTGGGATCTGCAACTTCCTCATAAGAAGGAGACGAAGGGGCAGGCACTGAGCTCTGCTCTCTGTGCCCAGTGACAGGACCCTAGGGAATGGCTGGAGCAGCATCAGAGGAGATTGGGATGGATATTAGGAAAAGGTGCTTCCCTCAGAGGGTGTTTGAGCACTGGAACAGGCTCCCCAGGACAGTGGTCATGGCCACAAGGCTGCCAGTGCTCAAGGAGTGTTTGGACAATGCTCTCAGGCACAGGGTGGGATTGTTGGGGCATCCCAGGCAGGGCCAAGAGTTGAACTCGATCCTTGGGGGTCCCTTCCAACTCAGGATATTTGATGATTCTATGATTCCATGGACTTTTCCTCTCCATCTTCACTATTTCAAGTACTGAGGACAAATTTGTTATTCACTGTGCCCTGCCAGTACTGTGGCAGGTCCAGTGAAATAAAACCAGCACTGCTTTGAAATTCAAGCACACAATATTTATTATGTGATTAAGAACATGGCACTGAGTGGAAAGCTTAGCACATCTTTGCATGCATCATTTGAACAGAAGCAGTTGGGACACAGAGCACAACAGAAGCTCTGCTTGCCCTTCCTCATCCTGAAACCAGGCATTGGCAGCCCCAAAATATCACTGACCAATTTAGGACATTATCTTCCCCTGTCAAATACCCAAGTAATTATTTTAGCTCTAGAAACCTCAGGCTGGTGGAAAATACTAGAGGAAGAAGCTGGATAGCTTTCTCTGGGCAAGCAGATCTTTCCCATGTAAAACAAGCATGCATGAAGCAGAGCCACAACCCTCCATCTCTTTCTCTGAGCATACAGAAGTATTTACAAGGTGTTGCCAGCATATTTCACTCTGACATCACCCATGGCATCGACACCCCTGTCCAGGCTGTATGCAGAGAGGGTCCTCAGGAAGCTGAGGTCTGTGACCATCAGGTTCCTGGAGAAAGGCTTGGCTGAAGGGTGTGGAGGACTATGGTGGACCCACAGCTCCTTTGTGGTGCAGAAGGAGGAACTTGCAGGAGGACTGCGCTGTATCCCCAGATCTTTAATTGTGCAGTAGGTGACCTCAGGGTATAACTCTACTTCCTTGATGGTACAGAATGTGGGGCGCTGGAGGGGGCTTTTGAAGCTGCTGAGATGCATCACAGGGCTTGCTGTTGACTCCCTCCACCCCAGCAGCAGATACTGCATGTCTTGGGTCTTCAGGGACTGATGCCAGAAGGGTTGTCCCACCAGGCACATCCAAGCCAGCCAGCCTGCTAAAGCTAGCATGGTCAGGACCAGCAGAGCCAAGGAAAACAGGTAGAGCACCCAGTGCAGCAGGCAGCAGTGCCTCAGCAGCCACTGCCCCCACTGTGGACCCCCCCCACCTGCCTGCAAATGCAGCACGGGTGCAGCCTGTCCTGGGATGGAGCACGGGCACAGGGGAGGAGGTGCAGGTGGGGAGGAACGGGCAGGCTGGGTGAAACGTGTGGGGTCCAGGGGAGCTGGTGGTGTTGGGTCACAAGTGGAAAGCATGGTGGTGGCTGACATCAAATGAGGAGATGAAGATCTAACAATGGAAGAGGCCTCCAGCATGGCAGTCAAAGGTACTGCTGTGGAGGTGTTGAGAAATGTGCCAGTGGATGCCACAAGAGTGGCATAGGTAGTACTGTCAGCAAGGGTGGTTTGGGGGAGGCCACTCTTGGTGGGAGGGGTGCTGCTCACAGTGGTATACAGTGAGGTGGCAGAGACAAGGGTGGTGGGTCTGTGCAGGGTGCTGGTAAGAGTACCAGTGAGAATGGCAGTGCTGGGGGTCTGTGTGAATATGACTGTAGGATTGGATGGTCTAGCAGTGGTGGTGCTGGGGTCTCTGGTGCTTGTGGGCATCACAAGCAAAGTGCTTGGGGCAAGGGTGGAGGTACAAGGGGTGCTCAAGGAAGGTCTGGTGGTACGGAGGAGAGGCCAGGTAACAGCAGGGGACACAGTAGCGTGCTCTTCGGGGATGGATGGATGCGGGGAGAAGGTGGTCATGGTAGTTTTCTCTATTGTTTCTTCCCCATAATTATAGTCATCCTCTCCACCCTCATCTGCATCCCCCATGTTGCCGCAGTTGGGTTTGAAGTCAATGACAGGCTTCTGCCGATGCTCAGCAGGGCTGTGGCACAGCACCTTCCTGGGGGCAAGCTCCACCTTTGTCTCCTCCAGGCCCCTCTCTGGCTGATAGACGCTGCCATCGTTCTGCTGGATCCAGCTCCGCAGGTAGCGCAGGTCACAGTCGCAGTGCCAGGGGTTCTCAGTGAGGAAGACATACATGAAGAGATGCCCCTCAGGGAAGAAATTGGTGGGTAGGGTTTGCAGACGGTTCCCTGAGAGCCAGAGGGTCTCCAACTTTTGCAGATCCTGCAGCAGCTCCTTGGGGAGTTCCTCCAGGAGGTTGTCTGAGAGGTCCAAGTCCTTGAGTGCCCCCAGCCCTGCGAAGGCCTCCTGGGGCAGCGTGCGCAGCTGGTTCCCTCTCAGGTCGAGGTCCTGCAACTGTGGCACAGTGCGGAAAGCCCCCGGGGCCAGTGTCACCAGGCTGCTGTGGGCCACGGCCAGGCGGGTCAGCGCGGGCAGGCCCTGCAGGGTGGGCAGGGTCTCCAGCGCATTGTGGGAGAGGGTGAGCTCCTTGAGGGATGGCAGCAGGGCCCCGGTGTGCAGAGTCATCAGCCCGTTGTTGGATAGGTCAAGGTCCTGCAGCTGGCTGAGGGGCAGGAAGGCGGAGGTGGAGAGGGACACCAGGCGATTGGCACTGAGCAGCAGGATGCCCGTGTCTGCAGGCAAGTCTGCAGGCACTGTGCTGAGAGCCTTCCCTGTGCAGTTCACCTCCAGGAGGTCCTTGACCTTGTTCATCTCCGAGGGGCAGGCCTGGGCTGGGGGCATCAGGGCCACGAGTGTGAGCAGGAGCAGGGCAGGGACTTGCATGGCCTGGAATGGGAGAGCCGAGGGGCATGAGTGCGAGCAGGCATGCACCTCCACAGTGCCTTTCTTCCTGTGCAAGCACCATTTGCAGCAGAGCTGGCATCCCCTGACAGACCCTCTGGGACCCTCTGAGCTCTGCAGCTCCTTCCTAGGAGGGTGGAAGGGAGGGATGAATCTCACACCAACTGACAGCACCCACACCATCATTTTGTTCTTGAGGACAGCAGGCTCAGCAAGGAGATGTCATTTCTGCCTTTTTGTTCACCTTACTCTCCTCCGTAGTGGGGGAAAACCTGACTCATGGGCCTCATTGCAGTGGTGCCTTCTCCTCTTGGGTAGCATTTCTGTCCTCACCAGTTCCAAAGCCATGGCTCTGCAGTGTTCTTGTCCCAGCACACCCACACCCAGCCCAACCCAAACAAACCGTGTGGTCAAGGAGGCTCCCTAAGTATGCTCTTACCTGACACCAGCTGAGCCCTCTGCTAGATTTGGATTCACAAGGTGGGAGCACGAATCATGTGAAAAGAGGTTCCCATGCACAGATGTGGCTTCCTTGAGTGCCCGCACCCCTGTGGACACCGGGACTCACCTGCGGATCTTCCAGTGTTTGCTCTCCTGCTGCTCTGTCTCCTCCTGCCCACAGCCCAGGCAGTGCTCTGGGGCAGCGGTAGCGGGGGGCTACCCAGCCCACTATCAGCATCCACAGCTGTGGGAAGGGAGCTGTGGCTTCCTGAGCAGCTAAACCCATCTCCTGTCCTTCCACACAGCCCTCGCTCTGACTGCACTGCCACACTCCCGTCTCTTTGTAAGTGTCTCAACTTCATTTCAATGACTAAGGCAACTGCAGCCTTTGCGTGCAAATGGTTGTGGCTCGCTGCAGCCTGCACTGGATCCTGCTACTCAAGTTGGTTTTCCCTGTAGGACCTGCAGAAGCAGGAGGAAATGATTCCATTGGCTTCTGGAGTGGAAATGGGCAGGTCCTTAACATGCCCAGTGGTGTCAGCATTGGCCTTGGCTTCTGAGAGGGGGTTGAGGTGGTCATAAAATGCCTGTGATGATGGAGAAGCTCTTACATCTGGGCACAGGCCCATCTGGACCAGGATGCCTTGAGGCTCAGGGCATCTCTTGCTGTCCCTGGCATCAAACTGGTAGGAGTGGGATGGACTGAGGTTCCCCTCCCCCAGCAAATGTAGTTTAAAACTCTCTTCACCAGCTTGGCAAGCCTACGAGTGAAGATGCTCTCCCCTTCTCTGGGAGTGTGCAGGAAAAAAGGAACCAGACACACTGATAACCAGTCCCCATGGTCACCTCTTACTCCTTCTATCCTCCCAAATGACACTGGCCAAGCTCCAGGCACCTGCAGCTCCTCTGATGCTGACACACATTTAAAAAACAAAACACTCCTGGAGATTTTGCCTGTTTGCCCTCAGCTGAGGGTTGAGGAAGCTCCACTTCCCCCACTTCATTTTTATGCCTCAACAAAAAATGTTGCAAGATTCAGACTAGAGGAGAGCCTTGAAATCAAAGGATAAGTGATCAAGGAGGCTCCAACTTCACATTTTCACATGATTGCCTTTAAAAACCAAAGAGTTTGGATCCCTTCTGGATAGGGAATAGTCCCATTCCTGGGGAATAGTCCCATTCCTTGTCTGAAAGCTACTGGTTGTCTGGCTGAGGATAGACACAACCCATACAGAAATGAGAGCTCATTCCTGAGTTTTTCTTGGGGCAGTACCCTTGGAAAATTTCTTTGCTGGGTTGTTTTAAAGCCTGTAACTGCAAGAAAACTGCCCTGATGAGTTGAGGGGAACTTATGGGCTGGGGTAAAACCACCAACCTTCTGTTTCCTCAGTTCCCAAGAGCTGGCAGCACAGCCTGGGTGGGAGAAAGGCAGAACCCTCCATTGGGGGGCCAAGAGAGGGACCAGAAGACTCAGCCAAGGGAGCTGCACCCCACCAGGAGCACACCCCCTAGCTTCTGTGACAACAGAACCCCAGTGCGTGTTCCCACCAGCAGCGAGAAACAACTTCCAACATTTCCTTGTTTTCCAGGGACTCCTGAGGCCATCGAAAACTACATCTCTGTGCAACCACACAGTTCAGCTGCAGAAGGTGTGCAGAGTCACTCATAATGAAAACAAAACAACCCACCAGCCTAGGATCAGATCTGTATTGAGGGAGCACAAAAGGATCAGAGTGCATCAGCACGCAGAGAGGATTATGTGTGCTTGTCCAGCTCAAACCTAGCACCTACATGGAGACCACTGCCATGGCCTCCACAGAAGGACATTGTCCATGCCAGTTCCCACCCATCACTGAGCTCTCTTGTGTCTACACGATACTTTGAAAAGATATTTTAAGCTCTGTGTCTAATGGAAATCCCCCGGGTAAGTCTGGGTGCTATCAGGAAATAGCCCAGAATTTACTCTAGGTTGTCAGCACATCAACAGTCAGTGATGGAGCCCTTGACTTGGCGCAGGATTTGGGAATTCACAAAGTCAGTGTTCTCTTTGGTGACCAGAGATGGGACCTGAGGACATGGCATGAAGCTGTGTCAGAGGAGGTTTAGGTTGGATATCAGGAAAAGCTCTTCCCCCAGAGGGTGGTGGGCACTGCCCAGGCTCCCCAGGGCAGTGGGCACAGCCCCAGGGCTGCCAGAGCTCCAGGAGCGTTTGGACAATGCTCTGAGGGACAGGGGGGAATTGTTGGGGTGTCCTGGGCAGGGCCAGGAGTTGGTCTCAATGATCCAGATGGGTCACTTCCAACTCAGGAGATTTGTTTCTGTGACGTTGTGGTTCAATGTGGTTCTATGGTTCCACGGTTCTATGACATGAGGTTATAATGCAGTGGGCCCAGAGCACTGGCACAAAGTTTTCATGTTTATCAAAGTACCTCTTTGTTGCAGGATGAGCAAGTCAGATTTTAATCTGGTTTATGCAAGTGAGACTTTGCAAAGGTTTGTTTTTCTCCAAAGATCTACTGGTTTTGTAGCCTAACAGAAGCAAAAGCAACTTAAGGCGGATCAGGAGAGAATCTTATGCATTAGGAGACTCCTTTACTGACTTTTGAGACAATTTTCCTCTTGGCATTCAAACTATTTAAAAAAGTGAGAATAATTTTGCTGCCTTTGTTTGGTTATCAATGCTGAAGGTTTCTTGAAAGGTGTTGTTAGCGTGTTGAGATGGTAAAAGCTCAAAGCTACATATAAAATTTGGCTTTTAGATCTGTAAAGCAATTCTCTGAAGTGCCATGTAATTACATATTAATATCCATTCTTATGAACTAACTAATGCTTTTCTCTGCATTTGTGGTGTTTCCAGAATACTCCAATGCTAATACCCTGAGCCTGAAGAACTCATCAGTGACAGGAGAGTCCTGGCTGGAGCAGTTACAGCTGCCAGCAGAGCAGAAGCTGCATGAGTATGAAGCATTGGATTCCTTCTGAGGGGTGTCAGTGTGTGAACTTTTTGTATGAATATTAGTTTACAAAGGCATTCAGACTCTTATCTTGTTAAAGCTGTTATTAATTCTTGTTGTTGAGGGGTAGATTTTAATGTATCTGTCCCAAAGTAGACTTACATTTTTAGGCCTGCTGGGATGTGGGGTTCAAACTCCAAAAATAGTGACTTTTAAGATCATTCCATTGGGTTTGGTCTTGGGGTTGATTTCACTGAAAGCCAAGTTGCAGCTCCTGTTTTCTCTACATGAAGAGATTCCTTATTGTATGGTTTTGCTTTTACTGAGTTTATAGTAACTACAAGTACATATTGTAATAGGTGTATATTATTATAATAAAGTTATAATTTGTTCCCATCTCAGAAGAGTCTGATTGTCAATGTTTGACTATTTCTGGCATTTGGGAGAGGTGGGGGTGGGGTGGGGGGTATGTGGCATGTATTCTTAAATCCCTGATGTGGGGCTTTTGCATACTAGCTGTAGAGGAAAGAGCAAGGGTTGCCAGCTGTTCACCTGTGAAAACAAGAAATTTCATCCATAAATGATTCCTATTAGTTTCCTGAAAGGGCCTAAGGGGCTATTGGAAACCAAACTGTATCCCAGTTTGGGCTGGGATAAAGTTAAATTTCTTCATAGTAGCTTGTATAGGGGATGTGTTTTTGATTTGTGCTGAGAACAGCGTTGACAACACCGAGAAGTTCTAGTTAACACCCCCCCCCGCCTTTTTAGGGTCAGGATCTAAATCTCCATCTCAATGACAAACAAAAAAACTATTAAAAAAATGTAGAGCCCAAACCACAATTTCAAGATCCAAAGGATTATTTTTCAGATTCAACCCCACGTTTTTCAAGCACAAACCCTATTTATACGATGCAACCCTCAAAAGTATGGAGACCAGCATACATTTTAAATCACCAAAGCATATATTTGGGAGAAAAATAGTCTATTTAAAGTCCAAAATCCTGTTTTCAGACTACAAAACCTCATTTATAAGTGCCAAGGTTTATGCTTTAAAAGTTCAAAGACTCATTTAGAGGGCCCACAGCATCATTTTTAAGGCCCAAGGTCCAAAGCCTTATTTATACAGTCTAAAAGCTCATTTTTGGCCCCAAACCTTCCTTTTTAGTTTCCAAAGCCTCCCTGTCAGGGACCAAAGCCCCATCTTTAGGATTCTGTCTGCAGTTTGGCCAGATCAAAGCCTTCTTTTAAGCATCAGTCAACCATTTCCTCATGCACTTATGAGTAAAGTAGGTCCTGAGCTACTACGAGGAGGGTGAGAGTGCTCATCCTTCCTCCTCCGTGACAGTGTGGGTGTCCCCCACATCACACTGTTTGGAAGCAGGTCAGCCCAAACAGTCTGGCTGCAGGTGGCTTGGCTTCAATAGCTTTTTGGTCAAGCTGAGGTATTTCTACCTCCCAACTGGGACAATTGAGACAGGGAGCTTCAGGTTTTAAGGGCTGCAGAATGTCTGTCACGGCTGTTGCTACCGAGGATTAACCCACCGGTGTGAGGCAGACCAAGACGGACTTTTGGGAGGGGGTAGAGCCCAC